AACATTATAAATTTAGAGAGCTCAAAAACCCACCAAAAAACAAACATGTTTCTTTCTTTCTCTTTTTCTGCTTTCAACGACGTCGTTTAGAGGTTTCCTTTTTTACCCCTGATGATTCGCGTATTTATCAAGCGGAGGTGGCGTCACTTGGACGCACCTCCGCTCCTCTATAATAGCGATCGACTTCCTTCTCCGCTTTGGCTTTCTGACTCTCTCTGCCCGGGTACTCTCTTACTCTCTTATTCTCTGCTCTCTTACTCTCTCTTGATTGAGACTTGATCATTTATCATGCAATCGAATGCGAATACCCAAGGTCGATTAGAATTTGAAATCGTAAAATGCCGATAAGAATATTGGGGTTAGGTATTGGAGAATTGGAGTTTAGAGTTGAATTCCATCAAGTTTCTGTGTGAATAGATGTTAATGCAATCTTTTCGGGTAATGGATGCTATAATTTCAATTTTTCTGCATGTCAAAAGATTTTATTAGGATGCCTTCTCTAATGGTGAAAGTTTTTTGGGAATGTAACGGTGATAGGCTATGTGGTTTTGCTCAAGTTAATATGCAAAATCTGCAGCAGGCAATTTCTTCACGGGAAACGATGTGAATCGAACACGCAGCCTTCTGAATCAAACCTAAGTCTGAATAGCGCTTAATGGATTGACGAAAACATTCAAAACCCTAACCCCTAATTCCCGGCGCTTAATGGATTTTTCCATTTTACAATCCTGAATCAAATTTTCTCTTTCTTCCCTTCAGCATGAAATGGCATCTATCTGGACTCTCCAATTTCATTTCTCCCCTAGTGTCCCGGTAAATACCCTCATATGTTCTCTCCGCTTTTTTTTTGTTCCACTCTTAAAACTCTCTATTTCAGTAACATTTTTTTTTCCTAAAATCTGAATCTTAAAATTATGGTAGTAGCCGTCATGTATGAACGAAAAGCACAAATCCCTTCAAATGCAGCTGTATTTAGGACCGAATTCTGGCGCAGACATGGCAATCTAAACTGGAATCGGGTAGGAATCTATCAAAAGTTGATTTCAAGGCCAATTGGAGCTTCTTTGAACTCGGATAAGAATCAAAGTGCCTAAGATGAGGTCGCTTATGAGATAGTTCCCACGGTAGATTCCACAAACCTAATTGGCAAAAATTTCAGGGAATGATTAATTTTTTGCCTCGTCGGGTATTCATGATAATATTTTCCTCCCCTTGTTTCCAATTACAACACCCACTGTTTTGGTTTATGATATCTTTCATATAACTTACTATGGAGAGAAAACCTGTGAATAAACAGAACTTTAGCCGGAAGTTGTTAGAAGATTCATGTGTTTGATTTATGAGATTTGAGGATGGGGTTTCTCATTTCTGTGGTGGGAAAGTTAGAATATTAAGTTGCTTCTTGTTTCTGGCATTTAAATCTGCAAAATAATGAATAGATTCATGGGTTTTTGCTTTCTGCCTTTAGATGAAACAACGTGTAGGAAACAACATTGCAACTGGATTATGCATAGCTATTGCTCTTTTGCCTGTTGCTGTTAGAGCCTGCATGGTGACAAAGTCGGGGAAAAGCCGACCTGGCTCCGTAGCTCATCTTGTCAGAGGTGGCCAATTGATATCTGATAGAGGAGGCATGCATGATTCCAGTCCTTAACACCTTTCACATACCCATGTTTTTTTATAATTTGTAGTTTATATGTTTCTTGGATCTAGTCTGATTTGTTAAAATTTTCCATCCTCCTTATATAATCATCATGTCTAGAATGGTAGAAATTATATTACTTTACCTGATTTTAGATTTATCATTTGATAATTTTGTTCAGATGCGCTGATGTTGGAATCAGGTTTCAGGTGTTCTGCATGCCAAGTCTTATTTGTTAATAATTTCCATCTCATTATGTAATCATCATATCCACGTTGGTAGAAGTTATATTACTCTGCCCAATTTTAGTTTGTATCATTTTGATAATTTTGACTCGGTTTGGCCCGGATCGTTTTAGTTGTTCATTCTTCGATATTGCTTTAGATGTGCATACTCTAGGTTTCTGTTTATTTCACAAGAAACTCCTGGAAAAGCAATTGCCCGTATTGTGCTCTATGACATTCTTCTCATGATGGTGGCAGCCTGCAGATGTTCTGCAGTGGTCTTTCTGAAGAACAGGGCATTTAATTTATTAAAGTATCATTAGTTATGTCATAAGCTAGAAACTGTACTTCTCGTTGGAGCTCGTTTGATCTGAAAAGGATGCGAATCATACCATTTTATGTTTTTGGAAAGGTACAGAAATTGAAAAGTTGTAACTTGTGACCACTTTGTTTCTCTGCTGTTATAAAGTCGCAATTGGTCTTGAAGCACACTCGAGATACTCATAGCTACATGCTGTTATTTGTTATGCACATACTTCTTAAAGCCCATATTTGGTTGTCTAGATGTTTTTTCCAAAGGTAAAATTGCAAAGATGATGGGCACAATTCTCTAGGTCTGATGCTATTTATTCAGTTTAATGTGTGTACTGTGTTGTCTTGGTGTGCTTATTTTTTGGATTGATAGAATTTTCTATACATTTCATGGCATCGTTAATTCCACGAAACTGAAATCTTGGGCTTTGTAAAACCAACCAAATAATTTGGAGTTGGCAGAACCATCAATAAGAGATGCATTTGGTTCATGTGTTCAACAAGGAGCAAATGGTGTGATAGCAAGCCCTTTTTTTCTCTTTCCTGGACGGCACTAGCATCAGGTAACTTATTGTATTTTTGCTTTGTTCCCTTGTCCTTAATCTACATGCTTGATTAATGGCTGCACCATTTTGTTGAAGGTATTGTGGAAAATATTAAAATTCTTCCTTGTTAATTTGATTGCATGTTTCATAGGATATTCCTTTGAGTGCTGATATTGCAAAAGAGTATCCTCGTATACCATACATCATAACTGCTCCTCTTGGCTTGCACAAGCTCCTTGTGGTATGAGATTTTCCTTATTTTTCTCTCCTGGTATTTACATTAATCCTGCAAGACTTGTGGAGTCATCACCGTATTTTCAAATTGTGTTTAGCTTTAGTTTTAGTTATCCTTACTTGATTGATATGTAGATTATTGACGAGTAGAGAGGATATGACAATACTAGTCAGTTAATGCAATTAAATAAAACTTTTTCCCAATATCTCCATGAAACCAGTATTGATTTATATGTGTGTATATATATATATTATATATATAGGCACTAAATTCATGCCCAGTTAACAGCGTTCTTAACAAATGTACAAAAGTTCCCGACTGACTGCATTCGTAATTTAGTTAAAACTAAAACGAAAACTTTCATCCTTATTATTACTTATTTTCACCAGCTTCCAAAAATATATCACTGATTTGCAGTGTTGTTCGCTGGTTTGATCAAATAGTTTTGATCAAAGTTCTTAATCTAGTTATAAGTACTTTTAATTGAGAATGTAGTCAGTTAGGAACTTATATACTTTCTTATTAGAAGTGCATATTCCAATTCTAAGAACACCATCAAGTAGTATTTTTAGGTGACCAGACCTGTGCTTTTATGAGATAGACCTTGTTCTACTCGCACGTTGGACTTTCACTTATTTCATCTTTTAAGAGCTCAAGGGATCAGAATGTGTCTGATATCCATATGGCTCATTAAGCAACAGAAGTTTTTGATTCTCAAGGGATAGAATTTTTGACGCCCTATATTTCACATTAATAGTGTGCTAGGATAGGCTAAAACGAGATCAAGAAAGAGAAGCAACCAATATTTTTTGAGTAACATGGCATTGAGCGGTGCTATTCTGGCCATGGTAATTAGTTTTATCTTTTGCATTGATCATGTCCATTTATAAATAATTTCTTCCTTTTCTCCCTCTCTCCAGTTTTAGGTTGCTAGGGTTAGTAATGTGATAATTAGTTTCCTCGTTCTCTATGGATTTTGAACTGACTTTCAAAAGCTTGTGTTTAAGAGTTATGTGTAATTAGAATAATTATTTGTTTTAATTAGGTTTAATGGGGATGATATGCGTTGCAGGATGTTGTAAACAACAGGATAAAACATTGCTCAAGCCATATAGAAGGAGATGCAGATGAATGTGCAATTTGTGCTGGAACCCAAAAGTGGAGACATCTTTAGTTCGCTGCTTATCTTATACAAATTAAGACACGATTGCTGTGTCATTTTAAGCATGAAATAGGACTTTCAAGGTGTCATGACTTTATTTTGGAGATAAGTGACTGTTATCCTTGAGGTTGACAGTATAATGTGATGACCATTACAGGATTTGAATGTTTCCTCGAGTCTGACACATTCGCGTTTGCCCCATTCTGGTTTGCTGCTGCAGCCCTTTGAGCGAAAGCGGTACAGCAGTTGGTGCCGGTTTGGCTGGCCCTGCAGCACAATCTGGATGTTTGGCAATGGGATAGATATTCAAACTTGCAACGTCTAGCATCAAAGTTCATAGACTATCTATCTCTTTCTGAAACTTGCACCGACTTTGTATCTTCATCCGTCTCGACGCAAATGGCACCCGGTCCCCACGTGTCTAGCACATGGTTCGCACTGGTATGGGACGCGTGTAAGCAGTTAAGAAGAGTAATCTTGGGAGAAGCCTTTCTTTTCAATCTGTTTATTTTGGTTGCTTATAATATAGCTTTTGGGAATTTCTTTTTGAATGAAGACAGGAATCGAATGAGTGGGATAGCAGGTTCCGTCATTTGTGGGAGAGTCTTGAAAATGGCTTATTTCAAGAACACGGTGAAGAAATATTTATCTCATATTTATTCTTAAATATTTATTTCATATTTTTTAATCAATTTTTAATAATATTATTTATGTATTTAAGATTTATTTATTTTAACATATAAAGGAAGAGACTTAACAATTGAAAAATTATAATAAAATTTTCACCAAAAATGGTTTATTTAATGATTTTTATCATAATTTTCGTATTTCAAAAGTAATTATACCGAGTAAAGAGAGTAAATATAAAAGTAATTTTTTTTAGAATAACTAAAATTATAATTTATTTTTGAGAAATTTTAAATTTTAAAATTATTATACGTGATTTTTAGAAAATAATTTTAGTTTTTATTGAAAAATTATATTTAAAAATTCAAAATTAATTTGACCAAATACAGAAATTTCAGTTTTTTTAAATAGTAAATTTTTTATAATTATTTTTATTGAATATTAAATAAATTTTTGTATTTTAATTAATAATTATTTGAACATCATAAAATTAGAGAGCACAAAAACTCATTAACCTGTGTAAACGAACATGTTTCTTTTTAATTTTCTTTTTCAGCCCAATCTCTGGTTTTCCGTTTTTACCCCTCACATTTTGGCGTATTTATTACGCGGAGGTGGCGTCACAAAGACGCACTGCAGCCCGTCTATAAAAACGCGACTTTCAGAGGCCTCAACATCACTGTTTCTCTCTCTGCTTCGTCCTTGTCCGGGTGCATTTCTTCCTGCCCTCTGATCCCTTCAAACTTGTTAATCTTGCTTATGTTTAATCTTATTAAATTAGGTTTTTCTCTTCTACCGGTTCTGTTATGGAATTCATCAAGCGGAGGTATTTTGGATCGACCACCACCCGGTGCTTGTAACGCCTCTATCTGCAAATTCTGATTACTCATTTGTTCTGCTCCTACCTGAACGCCAACTCCGATCTTCTAATCAAATTTAATTCAGAGGCTACCTAACCGAAATCCTTTAGTTTTTGACGTTGGTATTGAAAACCAGAAACCAGTCGGAGAAATATATGTACGAAAAGGCGGGCTAGGGTATTGAAATCGTAGGAGTCTTGTAGAGAAAATGGAAAAGGGAAGTAGAGATTGGGAAAAAGAGAATGATTCACTAAAATTAGAAATAGAGGATGTGCTTTTTTGCTGAAACAGAACAAGGATCAAACCTTCCTAAGTGAGACTTACAAATTGAAGGTTTTTGAACCCTACTTTATTTAATTTAACAGCGGAACTTAACTTTCTTGGAAAATAGTAAATCAGGTAATTGGACTCCCCTTTGCAGTTGTTTACTAGGGACTTGTTGTTGAAAGGAACAAATAAAGTTTCTTCCTGTTGCTGGTTATTCAGGCGACCAGTGCAGCTGTGCGGATGTGTGGCATGAGTATCATTTTACGCCATGTACTTTCTTAAGAATGGTGTTTTCACTCTTACTGAGTTTTATAGGGTTGTTATCTCATATTTGTATCTGCACTTTGTGTGTTGTTGAAACGGAAGTTTATAGGTTGAACTTCCATTTTGGCGGATTCTTCCTCTCGGAAAGTAAGTCATTTAGCATGGTCCAGTTTTAATGGAGTTCATAATAATCACGTTAGCTCTTAATAAAGGGATTGATCGATGAATATCCTACAAATTTTGTGCTTGACTAGGGATTTTTTGTTGATAAATAGATCTTCACAAATGTTGGTTGTAGTGATTTTGATTTTACCCACAGATAGTCTTATTCTTTTTATCTTTGCCATTATCCCCCCTCTTTTCCTTGGAGAAGTAGCTGTCTTTGTTTTATTTGTTTCTTTTTGTTTACTTAAGCTCCTGCTGTTCGTAATTTCTTTTTTGTTTTTTGAGATAACAAAAAAAAATGTTGTTCGTAATTTCTTTCGTGCTTCAAATGATCGCCCAGTGTATTTGTAATTCGTACTTTTTCTGTTGCAAAATCAGGAGTCAGTATTCTGCTTCTTGGTAAATGATTATTTATACTGTGTGACGCTCTTGGAAGTTCTTTCACTATAACTTGATCCTTTTCATGTGTCTTTGATTTGTAGGGACTATATCATTGCTAAATGATATCCTTCGTACAGTTAAAGTTGGTGATTGTTAATTCAAGAGGTACTTATAGCTATTGGTGCAGAAAACACTGTATTCTTATTCCTTCTCATAAGTTTGTTTCATTTTGAGTAGTCATTTAAGCAGGAAAGAAAGACACGACTTCTAATATGTCGCTTTTTAAGAATATGCTGGTCCTTGTTAAGTTGGGCTGCATAGCTTGGGTCTAAATTGTTCCTCTGTTGGCATTATGCTAATTCCATTTTGTTTCTTCTTTATTTTTGTCCAACTTTCAAGAATTAGAATGAAAATGCTAACGGGCTTCTCATCTCCTTATATTTTTTTGTTATCCCTTCGAAACTGAAGTTCAACGATTTTAGAATTCCAAACGAGTTGTTCTGGTAGGCTGCAAGAAATGCCCGCATTATGCATTATAAGAAGTGCGTGCATTATACTAAGATGTTTATTATATAGGAATCCAGAATGCTTGGTTTCGCTTGGCTAAAGAGTCCCCAGTTCAACGTGTGCAAGGGACTGAGAGTTTTTGAGCAGTAGGAGTCACCACTTGTGTCGAACATTCAAGTCACCACTTGCCTTTCCTGTAGTGAGTCAACCTCTGAGACATAAATGCTTTTCTTCTCTGATTTTTTTTTTTTTTTGAAATCTTGTTGTTGAAGGTTTAAGGTAATAGAATTAATAGAACTTATTTATTTTTTAAAGCAGCCCTTTTACGAATGTTGATATCCCAATTTGAAGTAGTGCAATAGAACTAATGATTTAAGGTTTGTTTTTGTCTAAGCAAAAATTTGTGGTCACAAAAGTTGTTATTTATGATAAGCAAGACAATTACGAAGCTAGACGAAAGATCCTAATTGCGATGCTGCTAACTTCTTGCTGCAGGTGTTTATTAGAGTTGTTATGTTCGAGATGAGACCAGGTCTTTTCTAATTGCTGGATAAACAGACCATCAGGTCTGTCTTGCATGTGAGTGTTAATTTTACCTTCTACGGTCTTCTTCATTGTATTTTCACTTTTGCTGAGTGTTATAAAGTATTCATCTCACATTTGTCTCTGTTTTGATGTATCTGTTGAAATTGAAATTTATTTCTTAAACTTGTATTTTGATGCATTTTTGTCTTGAGAAATTATTTACGAGGGTTCCATTTCAACAGAATTCATGTTATTCCTTGCAATCCTTAATCAAGGGATTGCACCATAAATATCCTACAGAGTTTCTTCTGTTCTTGGGGTTAAATGTTACTGAACAACAAATCATCATAAATAATAGCTGTTAATGATTCTTTTTAATATTCTTTTACCCGGAAACCAATTTTTTCCCCTTTCCTTGTTATTCTCTTCCTTCTTATATAGTTTTTCATAGGTGCAGCTATTTTTATTCCATATTTGTCTTATTGTTGACTTAAGCTTATTTTCCTATAAATTTTTTCTGTTGCTTCAATAGTGATCTAAGATCCTTGTCAATTCTTACTTTTTCTACTGCGAAATCATAGCAAGAATTATAAATAGGTTCAAGTCTACAAAGGAGTCAGTTTTATAGCAATTTAGATATATGTATTTTTTAAATTTCATTTCTGTCTAGTTATTTTTTTGTTTATTTTTCTAAGCTCGGTAGACTTCTGTGTTCGAGCCAAGTTTTTCATAAATTTTTACTAGCTCCACCGGAGTTAAATTTTAATAAATATAGAAATGGAAATAACCAGTAGGGAAGCTAATGGTTTTCAACAAGAATCAAATTACTCCACTCCTCTACTCATCATCGTCCTTGATGGACCCATTGTTCTCTGTTTCTGTTCCATTTCATGTGTTGCTCACAGTTTTATCTGAGCACTAAAATGATCGATATTGTTGCAAGCAGATCATGTTCTCTTATGTCGATATAACTTGATCCTTTTTCTCATCTCTTTGATTTACAGGGACTATATCCTGGCAGTATTATAATCTTCGTTCAATCAGCATATAGTTTGGTTGTTTGAGAGGTATGCAATATTCATCTTATGGGAGAAAGGTTGTCGTTCTTCATTTTGAAGACACATCAGGTAAGTAGATTTGATTTTGTTTGTCGATAAAAGTGCCTTAATTTATTTTATTGCAAGTGAGAGAAAATTGATTTGTTTTTTCAAAATAAATTTGCGTCCTTGTTTAAGGAAATTTTTTTCGATTTGTTCGAAGAAAGTATAATTCCTTATGTTCGTTCGGTAGTTTGAATTTAAAAAAAAAATGTCGCTGGGTCTTCTAATAGCAAGTAAATATCTTTTGGTATCACTTTAAGTTTCTTGTTTCTTTCGTTGAAAAATAATTTTTTACAGTGTCCCAGTTTGGAAAGTAAGAAAACAAGTAAATATGTCCTGATAGATTAGTTTGAAAGAAAAAGTTATTTTGATGACACATTTTCTTTTGAAGAGTTGGCAAACTTTCTCACACGGAGTTGACAAACTAGCACGGACGGAAAACATGGATTCTTGGTTATCAGGATATTTATCTTATGTGAGAAAAGTTGTCGTTCTTCATTTTGAAGCCACATTATGTAACTAGATTTGCTTTTGTTTGTCGGTAAAAATGCCGTAATTTATTTTATTGTAAGTGAGAGGAAATTGATTTATTGTTTGAAAATAAATTTGTGTCCGTATTTAATAAAGAGCTTTTTGTTTTCTTCGGAGAAAGTAGAATACTTTGTGTCCGTCCGGTAGTTTGAACTTAAAAAAAAGTGGCTGGATATTTTGAATGCAAGTAAATATTTTTTTGCATCGTTTTAAGTTTCTTACTTCTTTTGTTGAAAAATAATTTCTTGTGGTGTTCCGGTTTGAAAAGTAGTCAAGTAAATATGTCCCGATATATTAGTTTGAAAGAAAAAGTTATTTTGATGAC